GGGGGGGAGGGGAGGAGGATGGGCAGAGGGAGATCGAATCAGATTGCGATTTTTCGAATAATGAAATAGCTGATATATCACGTTTATACAAACTTCAACATAAATTAAGGACCATTTTGCAAGTTTGACTAAAATTCCCAGAGGGTTTCCGTGCTGCACGTGGTGGTTTTGCCCCTTTAGGAAGCTTTGCAGTACGCCTTGATAACCCATTAACACTTTCAGAGCAAAACTTTTCGAAACATTCCTTGCTGTCTTTTATTCGGATTTTTTAAAAATCTGGGCTGTCTGTTAAAGTAGTCCTTAACTTATGTTGAAGTATGTTTCCTAAGCCGTGAAGGTGATGGTAAAGGAAAGGGTTAAAGTAGCGGTGTAGAGAGGGTTAAGGTAGAGGTATAGAGAGGGTTAACCCTATCCGTACGTCGTGTTTTACTATTGTATATATACGACGTGGGGAACTGTGCTACCACTTTCCAAAGAGAAAATTTACTCGTTAATCCAATCCGTACGCTTTGCATAGCAGTCTGTCAAAATATTTTTTTTGAGAAATACATACTGAAAGTTTCAAAGAGATCTTCGTGCTAGAAGTATTCTAAAATGTGAAGAATACAACCCCGGGGGTACAAAATGACCACAGGTCGTTTGAATAGGGTTCAAGTAGAGATACAGTAAAGAGTTTCGCCTACCTTTGGTCCCCCGTGTGGTGACGGTGACGGTGACGGTAAATGAGAGGGTTGAAGTAGCGATACAGTAAAGAGTTCCCCATACCTTTGGTCCCCCAGGCGATGACGGTGACGGTGACGGTGACGGCGACGGTAAAAGAAAGGGTTCAAGTAGCGATACAGTAAAGAATCTCCCTACCTTTGGTCCCCCAGGCTGTGACGGTGACGAATCGTGTGACGCCGGCGTCCCTCATGGCCTCCACGATAGCCCTCACAGACGTAGAGTAGACGTCACAGGGATTGAACGTACCCGACTTCCCGCCCACCCCGCTCAGCACCGCGTCACAGCCCGACATGTGAGCGGCCAGGTCTTGGCGGGACAGGATGTCGCCGGACTTCACCTGACTCAGACAAAACAACGGAACAGACTGGTCAGTGTTTTACGGCGCTAGCAACTGTGTAAGGCCATATGGTCGCTTTTAAGTACAAGGGAGCTATCCCGAAAAACGCTGTTTTGAGAAAATCGAAGGTAAAGTTTCTGCCCCTAGTTCAGTTTCTTAAAAAGACAAGAAAAGCTTTCTCTATAACCAAACAAATATACACACGAATAAAACCCAACTTCTCCTACAGGTAGAGCAATGCCCACTTTTGGTGTAGGTCAAGATTTCTGGAAACCCCCGAAATCGGGGTTAGCCCGCTTGTCCTTAAAAAGCGACCTTATGAGCACGTGGTACACATTAAACGTTTTTATTTGGTATGAAATTTTGAATTTTGGCGGCCGAAGCCTACTCTTATCGATTTTTGACCCCCAAGGGATCTTTAAAGAGCGCAACTTGCACACAGGACCTCTGAGATTATTCGACCTTGTCCGAGAAGCCTAAGAGTAAATCCTTCCTACCAGAAGATCAGGGGTGTGTAAGGCCATATGGTCGCTTTTAAGTACAAGGGAGCTGAAAGACAGCAATGAGAATGAGCCAAGGAGTAGCTGTAGAAAGGCTGCGGAAAGTGTCAGGAGCCCAGAAGGGTGGGGG